AGCAACTCACCTTTAAAAAGTTGGGACAGGGGCAACAAAAGGCTGGAAAAGTAAGTGGTACTAATAAAAAACAGCTGGAGAAGCAATTTACTGTAAGTAAAAAATTTTAGTAACTCACATGACTGGGTATAAAAAGAGCATTTTAGAGAGGCAGAGTCTCTCAGAAGAAAGATGGGCAGAGGTTCACCAATCTGCAAAAAAATTGTTGAACAATTTCAGAAAAATGTTCCTCAACGTAAAATTGTGAAGACTTCGTATATCCCACCATCTACAGTACATAATGTCATCAAAAGATTCAGAGAATCTGGAGAAAGTGATCTTCGGGCCCTCAGGCGGCACTGCATTAAAAACAGGCATGATTCTGTACTGGAAATCACTGCATGGCTCAGGAAAACTTCCAAAAATCATTGTCTGTGAACACAGTTCGCCGTGCAATCCACAAATACAAGTTAAAGCTGTATCATGGAAAGAAAAAGCTATAGGTCAACAAGATCCAGAAACTCCGCCGTCTTCTCTGGGCCAAAGCTCATTTTAAATCGACTGAGGCAAAATGGAAAACTGTTCTGTGGTCAGATCAAACAAAATTTGAAATTCTTTTTGGAAACCACAGACGCCGTGTCCTGCGGACTAAGAGGAGAGGGACCATCCAGCTTGTTTTCAGCGCACATTTCAAAAGCCTACATCTCTGATGGTATGGGGTTGCATTAGTGCCTATGGCGTGGGCAGCTTATACATCTGGAAAGGCACTATCAATGCTGAACAGTATACAGAGGTTTTAGGACACATTTAGCACACATGATACAAAAAATCCAGCAAAGAAGACCCAGGATGTTTACAGACTGCTGTTACAAAAAGAGGGGATGCTACACAATGGTAGACATGGCCCTGTCCCAACTTTTTTGAGATGCGTTACTATCATCAAGTTCTAAATGAGTTAATATTTTTCATGAAATGTCTCACTTTCAACATCTGATGTGTTCTATGTTCTATTGTGAATAAGATATGAGTCAATGAGATTTGCAAATCATTGCATTCTGTTTTTATTTACATTTATTTACATACTGTTATTACATATACTTCAAATCAGCTGCCTTTTACGTTGTGTGAAAAAAGCATGATAAATGGACCAATAGAAATGCTCCAACATTGTTTGAAATAAAATCTCTTGAACATACATTATTAACATACATTAAAAGTAAAGAATGTTTTTACATATATGTAATTCATGTGACACAATGTCCTAACAAGCTATAATTAAAATTTGTGTGTATGTGTATGTGTGTGTGTGTACATTAAAAATAAGATTTCATAAGAAAGAGGCTAGTAACTCAGTTTTTAAGTGAACAAGTGGTGAAGGCGTCACTCCTGAGTGTATCCTGTTTACTGGTGTGAGTGTGAGCTGCAGTGTAGGCCCGGATATAAACAAGCTCACGTGAAATATTTAAACACAGAAAAATTGAATTAGCTCCTGAATCCTTCACAGACTTTCAGTGTGTTCAGTGGTTTTAGTTCCCACTAATAAAAATGGTTGTTTGACGTTAAGCCATTTATACTCAGATTCTATGGACAGAATTAAATATGTCGAATCAGTATGATGCTTTAGGCATACAGTTTTACATGATGTTAATTATCACACACAAATGTGTATCACTTGTTGCTACATTAGCCTTTGTTTTACAGCAAAATATTTCACCCCAAGCAATTCTTTTTTTGATTTACCACTGTTTTACCGTCATCAACATTACCTAAATAGCCCCATTTCCAAAAAAGTTGGGACACTGTGCAAAATGTAAACAAAAACAAAATGCAATGATGCAAATCATTTAAACCCTATATTTAATTGAAAATAGTACAAAGACAACATATCAAATGTTGAAACTGAGAAATTTTATTGGTTTTTGAAAAACGTATGCCCATTTCGAATTTGAAGCCAACAACACGTTCCAAAAAAGTTGGGACGGGGGCAACAAAAGGCTGGTAAAGTTGTGTAATGCTAAAAAAACCAAAAAAAAACCAAAAAACAAACACCTGGTGGTTGAATGACAACAGGTCAGTAACATGATGGGTATAAAAAGAGCATCTCAGAGAATCTTTTAGAAGTAAAGATGAGGAGGGGTTCACCACTCTGTGAAAGACTGCATGATCAAAAAGTGCAACAATTCAAGAATAACGTTTCTCAACATAAAATAGCAAAGAACTTTTGTTGTTTATCATCTACAGTACAGAATATCATTAAAAGATTCAGAGAATCTGGAGAAATCTCTGTATGCAAGGGACAAGCCCAAAAAACAGTATTTGCTGGCTGTGATCTTTGGGCCCTCAGACAGCACTGCATTAAAAACAGACATGATTCTGCAGTGGAAATCACTGCATGGGCTCAGAAACACTTCTGAAAACCACTGTCAATGAAAACAGTTCGTCACTGCATCCACAATTATGGACATCTGTGAAGGCACCATTAATGCGGAACGATATATACATGTTTTGGCAACATAAGCTGCCATCCAGATAACGTCTTTTTCAGAGAAAGCCTTGCTTATTTCAGCAAGACAATGCCAAACCACATTCTGCATGTACTACAACGGCATTGCTTCATATTAAAAGAGTCAGGATGCTAAACTGGCCTACCTGCAGTCCAGACCAGTCACCCACTGAAAACATTCGGTGCATTATAATATGAAAAATATGATAAAGGAAACTTTAAAATGGGGTTGTAAAAAGTCAGAAGACGTGTAGGTTCACTGGAGGTTATGGATTCTAAATAAATGGCTATATTTGCGTAGCCACCCTTGTTCCTATCACCACCACTGTAAAGAAATCTGAGTGAGTAAGTTGCTCTACAAAGACATATAGTGTATAATGAAGCCAGAAAAGCTTTATGCAAAGTGAATAATAAAAAAAAAACACTGGAATACTCTTAGATAGCAGTCTGAAATGACATGTGTGAACAGTCTGTGCTACATGCATGTGTTTTATGTTTTTTAGGTTGGAAAAATGTCATATGTTCTTTAGGGTAATGCATTCCTGGTCATGTGGAGGTGAAGGTTTATGAAACACGCAACGTGATAACGTCCTGTTTTTTTACATAGCACACATGTGTGGCACCAAATGAGTCATATTTTTGAGAATAGAGAGTCCTCGCTGGAAAACTGAAAACAGAGAGCGCGTCCAGTTACATAAAACACTGCAAGAGTAGCCCAGATGTTCCTCCTGAAAACTGGCAGCAGAGAGACAGGATGGGCAAACAAAAACAGTTGAACACCTACCAAAGCAAACAAATATATTTCTGAATTGCAGTGGACCTCTCCACACATGGCCCTATTAAACGTGTTTTGAACATGGTCAAAGGAAGCAGCCTCTCGTACAATTTAAACAGCCTGTAAATACTTCTCCCCATTACTATTAAAAGCTCTCTGGGACAAACATCAGGAAATTAGCTGCTCGGATTGCTAACTAAAATATGTGAAGGATTAGACAAACTCTAGGCATGTCAACAGCGTTCTTGTATCACCGCACACTCAGTATTAGCAGATGTGCAGCGTTCATTTTGAGACAGCTCATTGTAGTAATCTTTATCAGTCTTTGTTCATGTTTCAGCTTACCTCAGTGCACTGCATTCACCCAGCATCCACGCTGTTAGAAACCCATGCCCTGTACTTCTGCTCACTGGCCACTTTAGTAAAAACACCTGTCTTGTACTTCAGTCCACTTGTTACTTTATTAGAAACACCTACCTTGTACTTTAGTCCACTGGCCACTTTGTTAGAAACACCAACTTTGAACTTTAGTCCACTTGTCACTTTATTAGAAACACCTACCTTGTACTTGAGTCCGCTGGTCACTTTATTAGAAACACCTAACTTGTACTTGAGTCCACTGGTCACTTTTTTAGAACCACCTACCTAGTACTTCAGTCCGCTGGCCACTTTGTTTGAAACACCTACCTTGTGCTTCAGTCCTCTGGCCACTTTAATAGAAACACCTACCTTGGGCTCTTGAGTGGCGTAGTCGTCTAAGTGTTGGCCCTATCATCAGAAGATCGCGAGCTCCATCCCTGGTGATGCTACAGCCATCTGTGGCCGGGAGTCCAAGAGAGCACAATTGGCCTCGCTTTCTCTGGGTGGGTAGGATGGCCCCTCCTTCTCCCCCTATCACACAGTGCAATGCTAGCCAGTGCAGGCATCTGTTAGCTAATGTAAAAGAACTAATGGTTAGCGCTGTCCTCCAAGCATGTTCAACTGTCCAATGATGTTACTTTAGCGGCATTTAGAAAAGATGCAGTCACTCGCTTCACATGACTCGAGAAAGCTTGTGTTTGCCTTTGCAGTCCTAGTGGTATCATGTGATTGGGGGAGTTGTAGCTAGTGGGTGGAATTGGATATGGCTAAGTTGGGGGGAAAATTGAGGAACCCCTCTCACCCCACCTTGTACCTTGTACTTCAGTAAGTAAGTATTCCGGGATACTTAGTGATTATTTTGACACAGTAAATCATTATTTTGACATAGTACATCGATTCATTTGAAAAAGTAAGTCCTTATTTCAAGACACTAAGTCAGAATTTTGACATACTGCTGCCCTACCTTTTTCTTAAACACACTGGCCGCTTCTTTAGAAACATTGACCATGCGTTTCCATGCATTGAGTTATGAATTATTAACATTTCAGCAAGTAAGTAGTTATTTTGGGGTGCTGATTTTTACATAGTAAGTCATTGTTTTGATATAGTAAATCAGTATTTTGAAGAACTAAGTTATAATTTTGACAGAAGTCATTTCAGGATACTAAGTCAATATTTTGACACACTGCTGGCAGAAGCTGAGATTGTAGGCGATTTCTTTTTCTCCTCCTCCTGATAGGAGTGGGCTTCCATGCAGGCATGACACAAAAATGTGCAGTTTTAACTGATTCTTAGGACTGCAGTTGAGAAACACTGTCTTACAGGCAGTAAAAGTGACCCTGTATTTTATGTCTCATTTTCTTTTTTTCTCTCCAACTCTAGAAGTGGAAAAGGACCTGGCCAAGCTGGCTGAACAGGGGAAGTTAAGCAGAAGTCCTAATAGCCCACACAACCGTCCAGTGCTATCCACTAATCTCCACACGTCCAGTACTCTGCCAGTGCCTGGCCTCAGCTCCAGGCCACAGTCACCTATCAAAACGACCGGGCTTCCGCTCCTCAGCACCAAACCCACCTCCCTGAGCATGAGCCGCTCACAGTCTCCTAGCAACCCCAGCAGCCGGGCTCAGACCCCTGGCAGCCGGGCCCAGACCCCCAGTGGCACACGGACCCCCAGCAGGCCGCTGACACCAAACAGTCTGATGATGCGGTCCCTACCCACCGGTAGCCATGGCAACACGGAGCGTGTGTATGGGCGCTCCAGAAGCAGACCCGTAACCCCAACTGGACAAACATATACCCGACCTCTACTGACCCCTCCAGGCCTCAGCAGCACGGACAGCTTCAGCTTCAGTCTACGCAGCACACTGTCAGAGGTAAAACACTCCAATATAAACTGTACACAGGTTGCCTAAAATATCTATACAGTACTGTCAGAGTCCGAAAGTCAGAGACCACCATTACATTTGTTCAGTTTCCAGTAAAAATGGTCATTTAATACAAATTGTTCATTTTTCATTGTCAGGAAAAAGACAGAAAACATATTTAACAAAAAATGACACAGAAACTTTAACAACTTAAATGTAATATCAGATATTTCAGTGATAATTCTGTCCATTCTTTATCTTTATTACAGCTTCTTTTCTTTTCAGGCTTGCTTTTAGTTTCTCAAAGAAATTGCAGGATTATTGTTCCACACCTCCAAAGTTCAGTCTTACAAGTTGGTTTTCAGATATTCCGAATTATAAATTTAAACTCATCATTCCATAAAACCTTACTCCACAGATCAGATTCTCTTCTATTTTCTTTTTCAATATTCTATTTCCTTTTCTCAGTAACAGCTTCTTGAAAGCTACACATCCTTTTAGACCCAGTTGAGACCCAAAAGCCTCCAACACTATAGTATCACATCTGTCGGTATTTAGTTTGTCCACTCTTGGCTTTTGTGCACCTACTGCCACTTCCATGCCTTTAATCTTAAAACCAATCAGTTATAGCTGTGTCCAAACTCACCTTAGCTACCTTTCAATTTTTTTTCTCATGCGCACCTGAAATGGCTAAAGGAGATCTTTCTTAGGAGATTGGATATAAGATAATTCACTTGCATAAAGAAGAGGAAAGGCAAAGGAAAATATGAGAAAAAAACAGGAGTTTCAAAAACTGGAGTGATTAAAAGCTAAAGAGAAAATGGTAGCCCAGCAAAACTGTTCCCATCAGATAAACAGCACTTAAAGCTTTCATCTTTGAGAGAGAGCAGAAAATTAAGCTCCACTCTTACTTAAGATCTGGAAAAATCCACAGCCATCCTTCCACTGTGAGAAGACATCTCAACACTATGGGTCTGAAAGGACTAAGACTGAACATATAGTACAATATCCCTGCAGATATAATACCTTATGCTTAATGGTGTCTTTGAATGGAAATTAAATTAATGAAAGTGTGTGACGTTTGCACAGCACTGTATATACATTTTTTCACTGATGTCCATTTTTGTGGTTTTATGTACAAAAAACAGTTCTAATTCATTTTTACATGACCATTTTCCAACATGTTTCAACCTCTTGGACCAAAACCCCATGTCTCCAACAATATAACTTTACAAGAGAAGGAAAAAACATTCCTAACCCTTAGTGTAAGCTAATGTAACAAGATTTGGGGTCATTTCTCCTCTTCATGGGGTCCTCTGGGGTCATTTCTGTTTGTCTATCATTAAATATTGACAGTGTAAAGAGCAGCTGGCATTTTCAAATCATGTCAAAAAATGAAAACAACCCAAATGGAGATGTAAATGTAAATGACCCCTGTTTTGATTGAGTGGTTTATGTTGTGCCTCATTCAAAAAACATTCCAGGCTTAAATACAGAACAAAGTATTAGGCATGAACAGAAAACCTCAGGGGTGAGGGGAAACATTCAGCTGCTCCTTTCGAATGCGTGGATCCTTTGGAAGGCTGCAATGATTAATTTGCTTTCCAACAACCAACAACAGCAAAATGTTTAGTCCTACACCTTGCACTCCAGTAAGGAAGGCTGTCTGCAGGAATAACACTCCACATCACTTCAATGGAAATGGGCAGGGCTAAACTGCTGTAGGCTGAATAGGTGGTCATATGTGAATGTGTCCATGGTTGTGACATCAGAACTTGTTTCCATTATTGCCATACAGTGTTAGAAACCACATAGGCATGTCAGTTTGAGATGACTTAACAACTCAACAAGGTTCGAGGCAAGTGTGTGTTGATTTAGGCATGCAGTTTGCACAATGCTAACCGGTAGTGCATTAACTTCTATTACTTGTTAGCTGAATCAGCCTCATAGCTCCAGTGCAAAAATTAAGAAGCAGAGAAAATAAGAGACCAAACATGACCACAAATGTATTATTTTCATTTGGAGTAAAGGTGGAAATTGTAAACAATTGTAGACAATTAGAGCTTTTGAGGCATTAACAGAACAATGTAGAGCTTCTCTAGAGCAGCAGAGCCTCCTTTACAAACAGCAAGTGAGAAGGCAGCCTGTTAGGTAGAGAATGTTAAAGACTTGGCTCTTGAAGCCTCATAAAACTCAGGTCACTGATTTGAAAATCACCGTGCTTGTTGTTATTCTGTTGGCTAGTTTATAAAAGTGCTCAGCTAGCTGGAGTCTTGAATCTGACACCAACGGAACATGAGCTGCTGTATTCATGGGATTCTGGGAGAAGATCCAGAGCAGTGGCTGTAGCAGGATGTATACTGCCTATGGAGGAAAATAGAGTAAATTTCTGCATAATTAAATGGTTAAGATGTAAACAAAGTCTTTCAGAGTGGTTTGATGTGAAATGCTCCATTATGTATAGAAACTTACAGAGTCAGAATAATTCACAGTGGTGATGATAGGAACCAGACATCCAAAGCATTTAACTCCCCTAAAGCTCCCTCACAGAAAGCTATTTCCTGAAATGGTTACAGATATGTTGCCTGACACACATTGTATTCCAGTAGTTTTTGAGATTAAACTGTTCTTAAAGTTCATTCTTGATGGAAAGGTATATGCAGGGCATTGTAAGACAATTTCCCCAGAGATTTTTTTTTCTTCAGATTTGCCACTATATTACCATCATCAACATTACATATAAAGCATCAAATGGTTGCTTTCGCTCTTGTTCACTGAGCGAGAAGCAGTGAGCTAAATATCTCATTTACCTTGAATACACTACACTGAGCTCCACTTACATGTAGGTGCACTTTGTAGTTCTACAATTACGCACTGTAGTTCATTTGTTTCTCTGCATACTTTGATAGCCTATATGGTAAATTGAGCTGATAAAATGGACAGAGAGTGTAGATACAAGGAGGTGTTCCTAATAAAGTGCTCAGTGAGTGTATATCATTCGGCCTTTCCAACTTCAGCTAGAGTGTCACATTATCCAAGAAAAAAAAACTTTTTTTCATGGTCTTGTTATCAGTAGGGCTAATTCCAGTGCAACCATATGACATAGAGTGACCTAGTAGTAAAGGGATTTTGCCATTTTGTCTTTTTTTTATAATGACACATAATAACACATTTGGTTTCTACATCATATTTTAATAGTATTGGACATGGACACTATTTTAAAGTCTTGAACACACATGGTTCCCCATAAAATGGGAAAATGGGAATTTCAAATGGGAATGGCATGGGAAAATCCAAGTAAAACTGGCTACTCAAACTTTTTGTGCAGTCTTTCCACGTTTTGCACAATCCTCCCTCAAATGCGTGAAGGAGAGGAATGCATTTAGCGTTTTTCCATGCACGTGGTCAATAAGCCAGTAAACTGCATGTTTATGTGTGCCAGTTTTGTACATAACATATGGCTAGAATGTGCCTGATTTGCACCTGAAACTGCCTCAAAAGGCTGAGCATATCAGGCAGTGTTTTTCTTGCGTCCGTTTTCTCTCTATATTGTTGCTAGTTTTCCATTTTTATTATTTTTAACCCCTTAAAAGGCCAGGACCCACTGGCCTGTCCAAAGTGTTACAACACACCTCTATAACCTAAGAATAATTCATCCAGTTTGCGTTGTAGTCCATGTTTTTACTGGGTAACAAGACTTAGTATGTAATACGCCTAGAATTTTTGGAAGTTAATTATTTGAAAATGACCAATAGAATTTTTTTTTTTCAGATTTACTTGGAATAACATCTAGTTACATCAATATACCTGTAAAGGTATGGTTGCAAAGACACGAGGTTTAGAATAGAGGGAATATTCTCCCCTTATTCTTTTCACAGACTCCTTCACAGCAGCACTGTGAAATCTAAAGCCCTTTATTGGCCGCTTTATTCATCGCTAGCAGCATTTTCACTGTTTTGCTACGATTTTTTAAGACTCCTCAATGGGTCCCCACAGTTTATGCCTAGGCAACATTATGAGAAACATCAGGCCGTTGAACATTTTTTGATTTAAGCCACCTGGTCTCACTGTTGCCGAAGCAAAAATGGTTTGAATGAAAATGGGACGGAATAGTACACCTTTGGAAATCGGATGTGTGGAGACCCAAGGGAACGCTGGACGATTTGTTCTACTTTTCTGCTTTCCTTTAGGTAATTTAGACCCAAAATGCAGCAGAAGATGCATGACTGCTTCCTCTACCCCGCAGGCCTCAGACCTCCAGCACCTTACGCCGCTGAAAAATGAGAACGCATAAAAGTTCCTTAAATGCGAATATGGAGCAATTTATTTATTACAGTTTGGCCCAGAGGATCCGACTCCGAGGTGCACTTAACTCGAAAGAAAATAAAAACATCTGTAGAAGTAATGGGCCTGACATGCTTGCTCGCCAGCGCTCTACGTCTTTGGTTTTGGAGCTTTGGAGCGCGCCAGAGATGAAGATGGTGCTGTAATGTGCTTTCCTGAACAATCGCTTCTTTCCACAGGCCAGCACACCTTCCCTCACTGCATCATCGGTCTAATTTAGCACCAGAGAAAAAGAGAACTATTTTTAGGGCCTATGTGGCTTCATGTTCTCTTTAATGTACGATTTGTCTTTGAAAGAATCAAGTTCTTCAGTTGCCTCCTGCCAGTGCGCTACGGCAAAATTATATTTCATAATTTTCTTTTTCCATGAGCACTGCACTAAAGTCACAGCTATGCCACAGCAATTATTATGAACATAAATTTTCAGCAGTGCTGTTTCCTTTATTTTCTGTCACTCATGTTTTGTGTGTGTGGGCACTGACCGTGAATGTGTGCGCGTAAAATAGAACCACTGATTCTGCGTTTTGTGTGCATCTCTGCTTTTGTTGTGTGCATTATTGTACCGAATTGGTTCAAAGTCAGAGTTCAAAACACTTCTAACTGACCTGGACTTTAGACTTTTTTTTATTTTGAGTGACTGTATGCTTTGTAAGTGAATGATTGAACTTTTCATTTTGTTACTAACAAAACAATCATAGCTCTACTGAAACCAAATGTTTCAGTAGTGACTGTTTCAGTAGTGACAATTTGAGCCAAACTCAAAAATGCCAGCCAGTACATGACTAGCAAACAGGGCATTGAACAGTTGTGCACATTCATTTACATTAAAACACTAAAATGTTTACTTAATTGCAAAAAATTATGTGTTCCGGTAATGACAGTTCTTAATATTACACACTGATTTTCAGACTTTTGGACACATTTGCTTCAAAACAATAGGATCTAACTGCTCACCATGTGGCCATGAGGGACAGGGATGCACTTCCTTTCACTTCCTGCTCTAAAATGCAGGGGTGTGCCTAAAATAATAATATTTTTGAAGGCTGCATAGACCCATGAAGGCTGAACCGTAGCGTCATGTCAAGTTCTTTCAAAGTTCTTTAAGGACGGAGCCAGAAAGTTTTTTTATTTTTCATTTATTAAAGCTGGAAAGTTTTTCTCTCTGTCTGCTCCTTGCTCCCTACAACATAACCGAACATTAGCGTAAGTTTTGCTTCAGACCACATTGGCTTTTTGAAACATTTGTATCATTACCTATTTGACTCAGTTTAAACCCAATACTTTCTCCTCAACCACCGTTCGCTTCTCTGCTGACACCGCCATGTTTTCTAATCTTTGCCGGCACGCAATGAACCACGGGATATGTTGGTAGGCGAAGGATCCACCTTTGCCATGGAAAAGAAGGACACATCTCTTGGCCGTGTTTGAAGGAGGCTTTGAAATGGGACAGCCTAGTCGCACCGCTGTGACACACCCAGCCTTCAAATGCAGCCTCCGAAAGGATGCAGCCCCTGAATTGGGATACAGCTTCTGTGTTTTGGTGGTGACATGAAAATGTGGGACAGCATTTTTTGAATAAAGATTTTTTTTAAAAATTAAACTCATGATAAATCTAATTCTTTCAACTTCAATTTAAAAGAGATCAAAAAGATCTAAACTTGGAAAAAAATTACAAAAATGTAAAATTAGGGTTAAAGACAGACACCTCTCAATATAAATGGTTCTACAAATGATGATTTTATATATGTAGCTCATTACTATATCAATTAATGCCCTGGGTTTAAATTGATCATAACATAAGCATTGTAAATATCTAAGGTCTGAATACTTAATTGCATGTTTTAAGTTGTATTTTTTAATGTATGTCTTCCTGCAACAACCGGCACATCCCTTAAATGCAGCCATTACAAAGCGGTGCATCCCTCCTGTGTTAATCCATGTAGCCTTTTATATCGATGTAGCTCTTTACATCATATATTTGGTGCACATAGCAAGCAGCAGCACACACACTGGTGTTGTCACCTGCTATTACAGAAGCATGCATAAAAAGTAGTTGGTTTAGTGGAGCATGATGATTGCTTGGTGGGGCATTGCTTCACTAAATGACCCTCCCTGACGCCAGGCCTGGTATCAAAAGATACGTTTTTAACTGTACACCTACACCAGTGCACCTATGTGGTAGGTGTTTCTGATAAAATGGCCAATAAGTGTAGATGCAAGGTAAGTGGCTTTAACAGGCAACAATGCAGTGTGTAACCTCTGCTCCTGTGCTGTGTTTGTGTGTGTGTGTGTGTGTAGGATGAGTTCTACCAGCAGTTACAGGCGGTCAGGCAGCCGTGGCTCATCCCCAGCGACACGGACAGTGACTGCCTGGAGCCTCCAGAGCAGGACAAGTGTGAGTTTATTACAGCTTCACCGACACAGTTTATATTCGGCTATAAACTATCTTCAGCTCAGAAAGTCAGTAACTGGCTGCCTTAAAAGGGTGAACTTCAGACTTCACACGAGTCAGCAGAGCGTAAGACTGATTCTTATTGTGTTGAAGTACTATTAGAAGTTCAGTTAACTCGGTTTTAGATTAACACAGCATTTTATTCTCACAGTGCATTAATGAGAACTGCTGAGGTGTAACATTCAGTCTCTCTCACTAACTGTCTGTCACTAACTGTTCTCGTTATCTATCTCTGTTACACATCCTTTCTTTCTTTCTCTCCCTCTATCTCTTCGCCTCTATCACACACACTTTATCTGTTTTTCTTCCTTTTTCCCCTCTCTCTTTTGTGCTGTCTTTCTCTCCCCACACTCTTGCTTTCTCTCTCTCTCTTATCCTCGCATGCTCTCTCTTTTCTCTTTTTCTTTTTCTTTCTCTCTCTTTTCTTTTGCTTCCTCCTCACTCTCTTTCTCTCTTTTTCAATCTCACTCTATTTTCTCACTCTCACAGTCAATTTCTCTTTATTCTTTGTTTTTCTCTCTCTTTTTCTTTTGTGCTCTCTCTCTCTCTCTTTTTCTCTCTTTTCCCTCTGCCTCTCTGCTTCTGTGGTTCCCTTTTTCTCTGACTCTCTCTCTCTCTCTCATTTTCTTTCATTTCTTTTTCTCTTGCTGTCTCTTTCTTCCTCTCACCTCTCCCCACGCACTCACTCTCTCTCTCTTAACTTTCTGTCTCACACATTTTCTTTTTCTCTATTTTTCCTTTACTCACTCTCTTTACCTCTCTTGCTCCCTTCTTCTCTGTTTGCACTCTCCCTCTTTCTGCTCTCTCTTTTACATCCTCTCTCGCTTACTTGCTCTCTCTTTCTCTCTCCTTCTGCCTTTGTCCTTCTGTGGCTCCCTCTGCCTTTCGACCTTCTGTGGCTCTCTTTTTCTCTGTCTCTTTCTCATTTTATTTCTCTTTTTCTCTCTTTCTCTTTTACTCTCTCTTTCTTCATCTCACCTCTCCCCACTCTCTCTCTCTGTCTCTCTCTCATATATTTTCTTTTCTCTATTTTTCCTTTACTCACTCTTTCTCTCTAATGCTTTTTCTCTTTCTCTTTTTTATTGCCCTCTTTTACACAGTCTCACTTGCTTGTGCTCTCTCTTTCTCTCGGTCTTTCTCCTCTTGCTGTATTCCTCTCATTCTCTGTATTTCATGCTTTCTCTTTTCCTCTTTCTCGCTCCTCTTTCTGTTTTCTCTTTTTCTCTTGCTCTCTATGACACTCATCCTCACTTGTGCTCTCTCTCTCTCTCTCTCTCTCTCTCTCTCTCTGCAACAAAATCTCTTCAGAGTAGAATGCTAGAAAGATCTGATTACTGTTTAATCCTCCACTTTCTCCTCTCAGGCTCTGTCTCACAATGCTGTTTATGATTTGGCGAAGCACTCCATTCAGAAGAGACTCATTAATAACAACATTTGATCACTCTCTTCTTTAAAATAATACCGTTTGAGTGGAGCTGATATAAACTCCCTCAGAGCACCGCCGCATGCCAGAACTTTTTATAGCTTCTCCATCTCCGGGTCTGCGTGAACACGGGCTGCACCTTGTGTGGTTTGGAGGCTGAAGCGCAGCAGACACTTTCATTGTGTTGATATTGTCTGGCGGATTATGTCTTGGGTTTCACTTCCAGTGGATATATTGAAAGATTTAAGTGAACTCAGAGTCATTTTCTGTCCAAATTGTCGTTCGTCATCACCAATAAATACCCTAGCTCCATTTTTTCCTCTGCATGAACGTGACACGGCCGGAGCAGAGCATCCTCCAGGGCCGTTAGTCTTTTAATGATGCTAATATTGTTTTAAATCAAAAGCTCTGGCCCAGGACGAGTGCCTTTGGGTTCGTGCCTTACGTAAGAATAAATACATTATTCATGCTTCGTTTGCCTGCCTGTGTGGACAGTTGGCTATTTCTTAATCTCCATACTCGCCGCGTTCTGCGGATTGCACAATGTTTACAGCAATGCTAGAATAAATGATCCTAGCACTCCTTGTTTAAAGCCAAGTCTGGGATTCCAAGATTTCCAGGATTTCGCTTCATTTGTTATTAAATATCATTTTGTTTATCTCAACTGACCCATCTATTCCACCAAAATTATATTCAGCTATTTCACCCAGTAAACAAATGATCCGGATCTGCTTCTCGATCAGAAATTGCGACGCAGTCGGACAGCACTTAGGCCAAGTTTGAATACAAGTCAAGGAGCAAAAAAATCCAATTCAAACAAAACATGCACGCAATACAAGCCTTGCAATCAAATGAAATGTAACCAGGCATGACAGTCAGTCCAAGGGACCAGCTCTTGCTTTGCCAGAAGTCAAATCTCACAAAAACGAGCAAGTATATTTTCCTAATATCCTCTTGAGTCCAGATATCTGGTGCAATCCATTCAGTGCAGTGTTTTAAAGGGACACAAGCCATGTGTCAGAGAGCTATGAAGACTGGCACTGCCAACCACAAGACAGTATACACTGTCTGTCAATTCCACGAAATTCTACCGTTTTTTTTATTTCTGCAGTAACTATGGTGCCTATAAAAAAATATTAACTGCCTTGAAGGTTTTAATGTTTTCATTGTCATAGAACGTTGAATCGCAGTGGCTTTTTTTTAACACTGATTTAGTAAATGTATCTTCACGGCCTGTGTGGATAGGTTCCTGTCAGCTTTGTGCATTTGTACATTTGCAGTTTTTCCCCATCCCTCTTTGCAAAAACGCTCAAGCTCTGTCGGGGAATCATGAGTGAACAGCTGTTTTCAAGTCAAGCAACAAATTCTCGATATACATTAACATTGTTGTTTTTAAGTCATTGCTTGTGCTGAGCTTGGGATCGCTGTCACGCTGGAAGACAAATCTTCTCCCAAGGCTCAGGTTTCTTGCAGACTGCACAAGGTTTTTCCTCCAGGGTTTCTCTGCAATTTGCTACATTCATTCTGTCCTCTACACTCACAAGTCTTCCAAGGCTGTTGCAGAGGTTCACAGTGGGGATTGTGTGTTTATGATAATGGCATTTACTCTGATGGCCAAAATGAAGATATTGTGTTAACGTTTTTCACTTTCAAAAAATTATCAAAAAATGTAATTTGAGCAGGTGCCCAAACTTTTACATAAATATTAAAACTCCACCACTGTAAAGAAATCAGAGTAGACACTGGACAGGATATTACATATTTCTATACAGACATACAGTATGCCGTACCCACAGTAAACTTGAATGTGTTATTGAGTGCGTCATTCATTTCAGGTCTTTTAGTTTTGTATTACTTTTGTTTATGTGACAGATGTCACTTTGTTTGGCTAGTTTCTATTGTCACGTAATCGAGCTAACATTAGCATGGTGAATATTAGAGTCAGGCCTTCAGGTCCATGATAATGCTAATTTCTGCTAGTACCCTTAACAGATTTTTAAAAGTATGATAGCGCTAAACTAACACATGATTACATAAACATTTTTGGACATTCTAGATTATACACAGATGTTTGAAGCCTCAGTATACAGCTGCTGCCACTGTTTCCCATTTTTAACAACTGACTGAAACTTTGTTAGACTATGGATCATATTCACAGCCAGTGACTTATCTAGAACAAGAAGGCCTAGAGCAGGGTGCCCAAACTTTTTTGCCTTTTGAGAGCCAAAGTGTAATGTTTGTTGTTGGCTGAGGGCCAAAAAGACAGAACAGTATACAAATATGGAAGATAGGTAGGTTTTAAATCCAATTTTATAACATTGCAACATATTGTGTTACTAATACATTTCAAATAAACAAATAAGAATTTAATAAATTGTATATAGTATAAAAATATGTTCCTTCTTTCATTGGATGACGGGGTGGGATTAGGTTTACCCTTTGGTGGGCCAGATCAGACTTTCTCACGGTTGGCCCAGAGGCAACACTTTTGGTAGCCCTGGCCTTGAGTGATGTTTTTCTCATGAAAGTGGTCCCAATATAAATCAAACCGTGATTGGCTAATTCCACTGTCAATTCCTAATTATATTGGTAGTTAATATAATGTGGAAAGCCTTTAGCTCCTGAAGTCCTTACCAATGGGAGATCTCACTTGGCTGTATCTACCTAGATACCACAGAGAACAAATATCATGAGTGAATCATTTTCCATTCAGTGCATCAACATTTTAACCCTTTAGTTTCCAAACAAAATGTAGTGAAATGAGATTAGTTCTATGATGCTTAAAACAAGCACTATAATTCGTTCAAATACAAATAAACTAAATTGATAGAGATTTATTTTCTAGTTGCCAGAACTGTAAAGTACATTCTGGAAAAGGAAACTTAGTAATTAATAATTTATGTCTTTTGTCTTTGAATGTTCACAGGTAATCAGAGTGGAATGAGAGACGCCAATAAAAGATCAGTGTTTTCAGGTAAGAATTTCTGTTTTTTTCATTCGCTGAGATGTTTGAACAAGACGTGTGGTGAACCCATTAGAAGAATGCCTTTTTAAAATTATAAATTTGTAAATATAGTAGTCCCTGGCTGTCCGTCACTGACCTCATCTCAGAGAAAAACGTTTTAACGCTTCCCTCAGAATTATCCATGAGTGAGTCAGACGCCTAGCCTGGGTTTATAGAGCTGCATATAATGACCAACAGTTATAGATGCAGCTCAGCCAGTCAGTCTATGACACTGCAGGCTTTAGCATGGAGCCATGTTGTGGAAAGCAGCCGTTTGATGCCCGTTTCCACTGACTCAGGCTGGTGCCGCTATAGAACATGAGGGAAGTGTCTGGTGGGCCCATCTGCGGCCGGCTGAGATTTCACTGCACTAGAGGACAGGCTGTGACCTCATAGGCAGACAGAGTCACATATGCCATAAAACACTGCGTTGGACGGCAATTTCATACACCAGCTCATTTTTCCACTTTCATGTTTATCTTTGACATGTTCAAATATTAAAGAGTGTTTTCATGGTAATTACTGTGGTCATTATTCTTATTAGTGGTTGAATTTTGTCTGAAGGTCGTCTCCAAGCGACTGATGTTTTTGCCTCTGCCTTTCTTTCTTCTTCTTTCTTTACAGGCTTATAATGACTGACGACCGAAGACGTGGACCCAATCAAACATTTATGCAATCTAACGGGGCATTTTGAATATTGTGAATAAACCAGAGAGACACTTATTTTTATAGTTCCAGTAAAAAAAGAAAAGATTGTGTACTTTTTTTTCCACAGAGGATAATATTTCTTAGATCCTGGCACATTTGTATGCTATAAGTACGAATACTTGAAACTAGCGAATGTAAAATGTTGATGAGAATGACTTGTCTCTGCTTTTGATTTGCCTTTTTAGCATGCTTCCCATTGCAGAATTCTGGAGAAAAGAAAAGCAATCACATGGCCTTGCATTAATGGACACATTATGTATACGTTTTTATGTGCCAAATGAATAGTAATGGAAAAAAAGCAATTTTATTTTATATATATAATCATTTCAATAACAGAAATGGCATTAAAAGGATAAATGAATGTTACATAGAGAAGCTTTTAGAAGCATCTCCACATCACTGCCGTGGGTGACTTCAGCATAGCACTCTTCCATTTCCTACAGCAATGTATGACAAAAAAATGTCTAGGACTCTACAGAATTGTAAAGATTTATTTGATTTTTATACCCACGTAATATACATTACATATATATAGCCTGCTGCAACTTATTGTATGATGCAAATTAAATTAATTTATACACTTCAGCGTCCATTATATGTTTTGTTTTCCGATGCCTTGAGTGTGCGGTTCTGTAAATATATTTAACATATAACACCATTCAACTCCTGAAATACTATAGCACAGTGGCAGATTCCAGCTGTTTTGTTCCTGGGAAGGAAATTTAGTGGAAAATACTTGATTCTCTTCTGAACAGTGTCCAGATCGCTCTGGTTCTTGGGCTCCATGACACCACCACCATTGAGATGTTGCTCCATGGTGACATATTTTACCACAATCACATGTTTGTGTGACATTCGTTGTGTATTCTGGACGTCTTACTCCTCTTAGAGCCCATTAGCTCTCACAGTTTCTCCATAAGTCTGACAGATGTTGTTTTCAGAACTGTGGAGAATTCACCAAGCCCTTGTTTCGTGGTTCATGTAAGTCCTTCAAGTTGAAGTGATGCTGGGTGGTGTGAAGGCTCAGTGTTGCTTAGTTATATTTATTTATCCACTTTTCAAACACTATAAACTGCTGGCGTACTGAAACTAAGATGTGTCATATAAGAATGAACCAGTTTAATTTACTTTAGGCACTTTGTATTTCTACAGCAGATATTGCAACAGAGCAGCTTGTCCAGAAATGCAGGTGGAGACTCCTAATGAGAGTCACTGAGGGAGGCAGTGTCAGGAAAGAGCGTCAGGAAGAGCCACTGAAAGAAACCAAGACTCAAATGGGAAAAACTCCCTAAGAGCGTGAGGAAGAAACACTGAGAGGAACTGAGATTCAAAAAGAAAACAGAATCAGAATCAAGCTTTATTGGCCAGGTATGCTTACACATACAAGGAATTTGGTTTTGGTTTCAGGAGCTCACAGTGCACAATATCAGACAAACATGTAGTACATAAAATAAAACAAAACATGCATTCCTACCATACACTCGGGCCATCACTCACTCACACACACACACACACACACACAGTCATAACTGTAAACCTAACATTGTGCAGAGTATGTGTCTTAAGCTAAAGTTCTGAGTGCAACAGCAGTTAAATGATGTATAGTGGCAAAAAAGGCATAAGTCAGGGAACAGTCAGATAAGTGGGGTAATAAGGCAGGTAAGTGAGGTGCTAAAGGAAAGACTGTAGTTACAGAGGATGGAATGTTGAGTGTGAAACTATATACCAATATATTAGAAGTGCAGTTCAGAAGTTGGAATATTGTGCATCTGTAATAATTACCTGTTCAATAGAGTGATGGCTTGTAGAAAGAAGCTTCTCTTTAGCCTAGATGTCCTGATCCTCATTTGGCTGAAGCGCTGACCTGAGGGGAGGAGCTGGAACAGGTGGTGGCCAGAAACCATAACTTAAAATGAAAACCTCCCTAGAAGCACGAGGAAGATCTATTAAGAGGAACCAAGACTCAAAAGGATAAATTCCATGAGAGCATGAGGAAGAACCACTGAGAGAAACCAAGACTCTAAAGGAGAAACTCCATAAGAGCTTGAGGAAGAACCACTGAGAAGAACCAACACTCAAAAGGACAAAATTCCCAAGAGCGTGAGCATGATCCACTAAGAGGAACCAAGTTTCAAAAATAAAAACGTCCTAAGAGCTTAAGGAAGAATTGCTGAGAGAACCAAGACTCAAAAGGAGAAACTCCATAAAAGCATGATGTAGATCCACTGAGAGAAACCAAAACTCAAAATGAAAACCTCCCTAGAGGCACAACGAAGAACCATTGAGAGCAACCAAGACTCAAAAGGAAAAATTCCCTAAAAACATGAGGAAGATCCACTGAGAGGAACCAAGACTTAAACTGAAAACTCCCCAAGAGCATTAGGAAGAACTTTAGAGAGGAACTAAAACTCAAAAGGCAAAAAGCTCCATAAGAGCATGAGGCAGAATCACTGAATAAACCAAGAGTCAAAAGAAAAAAACTCACTGAGAAGACAAGGAAGAAACATGAAAAGGAACCAAGACTTGAAAGGTAAAACTCCCTAAAAGCATGAGGAAGAACCATTGAAAGGAACCAAGACTCAAAAGGAAAACTTCCTAAGAGTCTAAGAGCATAGAGCATGAAGAAAACACCAAGACTCAAATGAGGAACTCATCCTCCTCAGGCAGTCCAGTTAGTCTGGGTAGGACAGGTGGAAGATTAAACTGGTATGCATACAGAGGAAAGATCTAGAAGATAATCAATGGTTCAATAGTTAATGATTTTATGGATCTACTGATTGTGTTGCTTTCAATTGTCTGCCCTGTGCCACCCACCTCCACTGTCCTCCTAAACATGGTCACCCTGTTAAAACTGATCTCTTGAGCACCACATGGCCATTCTTTAGGCCTTGGGCATCCAGAACTAGCATTTCTCAACGCTTGGACACCACCTTCTTTCATGGTGTGTCATCGCTCGTGTGGATGTCATTGGATTGTGTTTACATGATCTAATTGCTCACTGATGGATGGCAGCCTTGCACGTGGTTTTCACAGCAGACACCCACTAATTCACACAGCAGCCACGCAACCACGCCTAAACCCAGCGTCTGATTGCCAGCCCGCACCCACAGTCTACCAGGCTGGCCCTCGCCAAACCCCAGCACAGCCTTCACACTCCAGCCTTCAAACAGGATGTGGGCTTTGAGAAGGCTCGACCCGTCTGATTCTACAACAGAGCAATTCCTGTAAAATTCTGATTGAACATTCGTCAGTTTCCTACGTGAAAAAAAAACAATTTCATTAAGTGTGGTATGCATGCCATCTCGTTCAGGTATTTCCCCTATAATGTTTAGACTGGTGTTCGGTACAGGGGATGTGGTCAGAAAGGAAACATGTCTCACACTTTTTAAGACCTTCTGAGAATGTACTCCAGTTTGGATCGTCGTGAGTAATTCTAACCGTTCGCATGTGTGCCGTTCTAACAAGTTACTGATTTACTGCTCCGCTTTTCCATATTCTGAAACATCATATTCTCTCGAGTTTTAAGTAAACGGAAATCTGTTGGATGTGATTTTTCTTTTTCATCTGCAATGGAAGTTAATACTTTTATTATTTTCTTCCGTATCAGATGTTTCCCTTTGGCCTTCATTTTTCGTGTCAGCAAAGTACAGACCAGATCACAGATCACAATGGAAATGTGGGGGACTTTAGTGACTGAGATACAGATGGCTGAAGAGAATTGCTTTCATTTGTGCCCTGCATATCAATATGATCTCACTGATGAACCCAGACATTGAAGTTGTTCTTTTGAAAGTGCCTTACAACATAAAATACAACGGCCATCATGTACCCAGCCTGCCAGGTTTTGGAGGAAATGTGTAGTTCAGTCAACGGCAGGTTGGATAACGGAATACATGTAACAACGTTACATAATCAGGATACAAAAAATGGAACTATTCTGTTACAGCAAAAATAGGGGTGATTCACATGCAGACTCATCGCCTTTCGTCTAAATTTGCCATTTAAATTTGTCCCTTGCAGCGGCTCAAGGTGTTTTATTGTGTTTAATTCACCCAATCTATGGAATTTTTAGTAACTATTTTATTTTTTTCAGAACTAAGATCTGCAGCATTTTCCTGAAGATACTTGAATCAGGCATTTATACTGGATTTACTTAACCCCACACTCAACAACAGCAAACTGATCCGATTTGGTAGTAAGCTCTATTTTCATGTTTGTTGCTATGTTGTACAGTTACAGTGAGCATGAATTCAAATTTTGCAAATATTAACTCAGATTTTAATGCTGGAGTGAGCTAACGTAACTAACAGTCCTGAAACATGAAAAGGAAGCACAGTCTCATTTCATTTTCACATAAACAATTTCTCAGTAGTTTTCGAATAATGGTGCAAAATGTTAAAATGTGTAAATTATCATTATTTGTGAGTAAGACAGTCAGCTTTCACTTAGTTTTTAAACAGGTGATCAGTAATCTGTAACAGAGTACGTTTTTAAAGTAACCCTCCCAAACCCGGTGAATGGTTAATGTTAGCTGGTTGACTAGTTTTTTTTTGCAACTGTGAGAGACAAGCGACATTATGTTGACTGAGGAACGTTTCTCCATGTAGTATTTTTCGGAAAGAAGACGCCAGAGCTTGTCCTCTTGTTTTCTACAGGTCTCCTGCCTCCAAGGTTTGCCAATTTGTGGGGTTAAAGTTCACTTAGATAAACGCCATGACAAATTGAATGCTACTGGTAGCTAATTCATTTTTCATGTTCTCTCCAGAGCTGGTTTAAGGGGAGGCTGGCCGCTTCCTTTTTCCTCCAATATGTGAAAAACATGACTGCAACATTCCAGAGACTGCCCGCGAATGAGTGGGTGAATGGAGCTAAATGGCTAAAAAAGAAAAGTTAAAATAGTTTCTAATCACTTGCCAAGGACTTTCCTTTAGTTTTAGAAAGTAGAAGGATGTATTGCACTAGAACAAGTGAAGAAAGCCTCCCTGTATGTTTCCTTTTTTCTACAGCAAATGAGTTTTGGGCAGCAGGACACTAACATTACTGCTACTGAGCACTGACTGTTTAGCATTACCGCTACTGAGTGCTGATTGTTTGGCGAGGGGAGAAGCTCATTGCCTGTTCACATTCACTGATGTCATGAACATACATGAGGTGCCATTTTAAACTCCTATAACTTGTAAATGGATGTATATGTATGTTTGTTTATATTAAAAATG